AGGGGGGATGAGATTACTGTGGGAGTTGAGGAAGAGCCTAGGGCTTGAAGTTGCATTACATTTTTCTCTGCATACCGTTTTGTGTAATCTAGCCCTGAAGCTGTAGTTTCCAGTCCATACATCATTTATATTATTCTGCACTATTATGTTCAATTTGTATTTGGTTCTTGCTTTGTTGATATAACTGGTGAACTTTCTCCTTTGTTTTCTGTTACTTGCTTTGTGTAATGTGTTTCTCAGATACAGCACACACACAAAAAAGACCCCCATTAAAGATAATCCATGGATAATGCTGTGATGAAAGATGAATTTTTCTTTCATGGATTTTTGTATGTGAAAAGCTGTTTCCATTAGAATGAATATTGAGATTATTTATGCGGGATATTATCACAACACCAATTTAACCATAAATTCCTTTATTAAATACAAAGGCTGACTGATAGTTATACAGTTTCTCTAAACATGCCTAAATAATAAGCAATGTACTACTCCAAACAGTAACAAAACATTTATAAGCATTTGATCAAGATAGTTACAAATGGGCTAAACCCAGGGATGCTTAGACCCATACGGGGCCACTCCAATGTGTGCAGACAGATATTAGCAATGAACCCTTTAAGAGCTTACTTTTTTTTATACCCTTTAACAAACAAGTGATGACCTTGCCAATTGCTGACTTCAGTGAGAAATTGATTTGCGGCAGTTCTCCCTTATTTGAAGTCTTAATCCAGATAAAGTTTCCAACCTCCTTTTTCCTGAAGGCCTTTCCTCCATGCCTCTCTCCCTCCTCCTAGCTGACTAGCAGTTTTTCCTTTGCATCTGAGTTCACGTAGGCCCCAATTTTTGAGAACACTGATAAATGGGGTGGGAAGGTCCATGTTGGTTATTTTAAAGACAGTTTCTTTGTCTTATTTAACACCATCTACAGTCACCACTGTTGGTCAGAGGCCTTTTTAGGAACTTTCCCTTATTTCATTCTTTGAACGAGGCATCCTCCCTCTTTCATTCCTGCTGGCCTTATAGCTTGTTACTTTCAAGATCTTTCTTTTACTTGCTAGTTAGGGCCTTTCTTTACAACACATTTCTTTAACCAGATTTATGCTAACTTTAATTCTCTAATTTTATGTTTATTGTACAGTGAAACATGCAATGATATGTCACTGCATTTTTGATAATACATTCATAATGGGAACATGTTGCTTTGCAGCCTTAATTGACGCAATCAGAAGGAATGCATGCCCAACAGAGGAAAACAGTGAGAGTTCTGACTTCTGTGCTTGCAGCGACTGTATGAGAGGGAAGAAGGAGAAGTGCGACAATGAGAGGGGTCAAGCAGGCTCTGGAGAAGCTAGTATGACGTACACAGAGGAGCAGTTGTATGGGGTACAAAGGTAAACAAACTATTTTCAGTAAACCCTACATTAAATTGTATTGGCAGAGGTAAAAGTCTCACGTTCGTGATCTTTTAGTAACCAAATGTCAACTGCAAAGCTGCTGTAGTCCTGAGCAGCTAATGTGCACTTGTGGTCTGACTGAATGGTGTTTACGGGGGTTGTGGGTGCTCTGCACCTTTTGAAAATTGGGCCCTTTTATTATAAGTATCTCTGAGTGGTGAAATCTGCAGTATCAACTATATTCTGAACTTTAAGTTAAACTTCCTTGAGGTGTTATGGGTTTAAGTCACAAATAATGAACAGTTATGTCTATTATGAATATCTGTATTTAGTATCTAGTCAGTTTAAACTATGGAGCCATCATAATCATAGGAGGAATATGCATAATAATAGGTGATTAACAAAAGTTGCTGTATATGAAAAGAATGTCAGTCACTGTGCCTTCCTTAAATGTGAATGTTTACTAAAAATACTGTAACCAATTTATCCATATTGTAATCTAAAAAGTTAGCAAAAGGTCATTTAAAAACAGCGGGTTTTTTAAAGTTACAGGAGCACAAACATTTCCTTTTTAGATTACCAGGTTTTAAACTTTAAAAGGTAGAACTATTTTTAATTACTTTTTTGTGTCGAGGAGACCTAGCTTTATCTAAGACTTGAAATTCTAAGTATCAGCCCAAACTTACTTTTCCAGCTGAAACAGACTCCCTGAGAAGAAGGATTTGATGAAAATAAGCATAACTGTGTGTTTAAATTTAGGCCTTGTTCTTACAGTGACCTCTGCATGGGCAAGACCCCTGTTTCTGTTGACTTCAGCGGGGCACTGTGTGGATGTGTGTGTCCACTGTGTGCAATGCTTCACAGGACTGGGGCCCTGCTCATGAAAATGAGGCATGACTGAGGCAAAGGATAGTATAGCTGAGTATTGTTCACACACACACACACACACACCCCGCATTGTCAGTGCATCTCAGTTTTAGCCCTTCTAGCACTGAGCTGCTTGAGTAGAGACTGAGGAAGGATGGCTCAGTGGTGAGAGCACTAGTCTGGGTTGTGGGAGACCTGGGTTCAGGTCCTGCTCTGCCACAAACATCCCGTGTAACACGGGGCCAAGTCACTTAGTCTCTCTGTGCCTCAGTTCTCAATCTGTAAAATGGAAATAATAGTGCTTCCCTACCTCACAGAGGTGGTGTGAGCATAAGTGCATTAAAGATTATGAGGTGCTCAGGTACAACACGGATGGGGGCTATATAAGTATCTGAGATAGGTAGACAAACATTGTGGTTTGCACAAATAGAGATGACAATGGGGGACCCATCAAGCTCCTTTTCACTTGTTGATCAATGTTGTCTTCTCAGGTGAAAGTAATTTAAATAAGCTCTTCTACTGCAAATGATACATATGCCTGGTTTGCTATTCTATATGAAATGAACCTGGTGCTGTCCAGTTCCTGCTGGCCAGGTGTTCAGGTTCCGAAGTTATGTGCATGGTACAAACGGGCACACTAATGGCTTTCTTACCAGGGCAGGCAAGAGATGGATGAACATGGAGACCAAATTACACACCAGCTCTTTAGATCTCTCCTTTCAGTTGAGGGTTGAGCTGGATTGGTGGGGAAGCTTGTGTTACCTCTGCCTTTGTTGTAACTGCTTTGTGGCTAAACAGATGACTTCAGTTTCTAGGATGCACAACCTGGCACCTTTCTTCAGCACTTACATTTTTACTAAGTGAATTTTAAGTGATACACATGACCCCATCCCTTAGACAGAACTCTGATTCCTCATGCATCTTAGCAACATACAGTTTCTCTCTGCTGCTGCTTTTTCCTCACCTATGTTAAGTGCTGTCTATTTGGTTCTTTGTAAAATTTTCTCTCAACTGTATTGTAGGAAGAGGCATGCAGATAATAATAATAAAAAAAATTTTTTGTCTCTTTTCAGAATAAAGAAGTGTAGCAATTATTATGAAATTTTGGGAGTTGAGAGAGATGCCAATGAGGAGGATTTGAAGAAAGCTTATCGAAAACTGGCCCTTAAATTTCACCCTGACAAGAACTGTGCTCCTGGAGCAACAGAAGCTTTTAAAGGTATGTGAGATGAAGTACGGTTTATTTTAAAAAGAATTTTCCAGCAAGGCTTGCTTCAGACTTTGGCAATGCACCCTGGCTGAAGACTTCATAGAAACACAGGCAGCTTATAATTTTCATAGGCGATGATAGGATGCATACAGTTTTCTTCATAAAATCCCACAGTTGCCTGACAAAGAGTTGTCTTTGTTAGGAGGAGTTTCAAAGTACAGACCTCTGTGAGAAACAGGATAGTAGTAAAATGAAAAGGCAGACAAATCCCTTTGAAGTTTCACAGTGGTGTTTAAGCAGTATTGTTTGTAACGAATAGCCGTCCATTTGATCAACAGTTTCCCTGGTTGTCTAATCACCTATTGTTCTGTATGTGGCCATGGAGGGGATGGACAAGTCCTGTTCCTCCCCAGCCTGGGAGAGACTTGCAGCGAGGAGCCCCCCAGCAGGGGTGCTCCCAGAGCAGCATGGGGGGATCAGATTTCACGGGGAAGGGCTTATTTTACCATCTATGACATGTTTTTCACGGCCGTGAAATTGGTAGGGCTCTAATTATGAGTTAAAAATCATGAAAACATTGAAAGTTTTTGAGTGTATTATTCTGATTCTTTGAATTTTATACTAAGATTATATTATCTGTATCAACAATCTCAGTTTCTTTAGAAGTCTTTAGACTTAAATTAAATCTGTTATACGTTCTCTTTTTTATCTTCAAACTATGGCCAGGACTATCTTAACACAGAGCTTGGCAAAGCCTTGCTTTCAGTTAGCCAGTATTAAGATAGAGAAGACATGAAGTTGCAAAGTTGTTGGGGTTTTTTGGGCTGGGGGTTGGTTTTCAGTGTAAATTTGCCTATGAAAAATGTATTTCAAATAGCATTAAGGTGGTACAAAAGTTCTAAATTTTAAAATCAAACTTCAATGTTCTTTACTTGCATTAATATTTAAATACCTTGAACATTAGGAAAAACTATATGAACACAACTTTCCAAGAAAAAGTTATTGCATACTTGAGTTTGTTGCTGCAGCTATTTGACCTTCAGAAATTAATTGCTAAAGATGTTGGTGTGTTCTGGGAGACATGGTGGCTTGGTAATAAAATATGGGGTCTTTCATCCTTGGGGCACTAGTTTAGAGCCAGCTCAGGTTGCTAGTGATGAGGTCATTGTCAGCTGACTAGCTGTGTGGTGGCCAATGTGAAACAATTCTCATATTTCAGGTCCTGGTAGACACCTAAGTGTATCAGTTTGTACCTTTGTTTTCAGTCTCAGTGAAGTGGTTACAGATTGAATAGAAATGGCCATGGACATCAAACTAGTCTATTGGTGGCTCTTTCAGGTCAGAGTTGAGACATGTAGGGGAGAGGGGAAACTGCCAGTGATGTACTTATTCTATGAAGAGAGGCTTTCATTCTCCACAGCTATCTCAGTGCTAAACATAATACGGCTAGTGGATTGCCTTTGGCATTAAAAAGCAAATTGGACAATTTTGAAAGCTACCACTTATTAATATAAAGGCAATTATTGTAAATTCCTTGATCCTTATTTGAGAATTTGTTTCCCAAATGTTGTGATCGAGCCCTATTCTTGATAGTCTCTCAGGTGACTGGTGGAACTCCCCTAGCTCAAAACTGTGCCTTTGAATGGGGTTGCCAGCAAGTGGGCATTTGTAAGATAATGGCCATCCCTCACCTCACCCTCCGTTCCTTTCTTTCCTCTGGTGCATGAGATCACTCTAACCCTGCTGCCATTCTCACTTTGCCGTCTGTGGTATGCTGTACATGCAATTGCACTTGTTTAACTAAGGCCTTGTCTTCACTAGGAAAAAAGATATATTTTTAACCCATGCTAAGCTAACCTGTGTTACAAGTCTAGTGAAGACAAGGCAGTTGTAACCTTTCAGCTGATTGAGGTAAATCCTAGGAGGAGCATAGTGTTTATCTTGTCCAACTCGTAGGAATGTAACACAAGTTAACTTAACACAAAGTTAAAAGTACACATCCTACAGGAAGGATGCAATGTCATGTAATTAACCATATGGTGTGTGGACACACACTCTGTCTAAAGCCTACCATGTCACTAACTGGTTTCAGACTTGGTAAAAAGCTGTATTGTCACTCTGCCCTTTAACAGATTTCCAGAATAGTCTCTTCCCCAGTTTTCTGAGTATTTTCAACCCTTCAGTATGCTACAGGAGATGTTTTAACTTCCTGCTTCTATCCAAGATGAGTGAGCAGCTTTCATCAGTGCTAATACCAGTATCCATAAGAATAACTGAAAGGAGCACTCACTTTGCTTTACGAATAACACCTCCAATGGACATCGAGTCTCTCTGTCCAGATGGTTGTGTGTTACACTTTGTCCAACAGAAAATGTGCCTCTATCAACTTGTTGCTACTCATCTTATAAAATTCAGCTTATGAAAGGCATATTGACTCGAAAAGATTGCATGAAGTAAATGTGTAATATTGCTCTCTCTTATTCTGCAGCAATAGGCAATGCTTTTGCCATTCTGAGCAACCCTGAAAAACGAATACGATATGATCAATTTGGGGATGAGCAAGAGACTTTCAGCACTCCCCGGGCTAGGAATTATGATTATTACAGGGAATTTGAAGCAGACATCACACCAGAAGAAATATTCAACATGTTTTTTGGTGGGCACTTCCCTACAGGTCAGTGTTCTGTCTATACTGTCTTTGAAGTGTAAAGAGTTGGAAAGTTAGCTTTATTTGATACTGCTCAAGAACCTAAGGCCATGTCTACACTACACAGCTAACTCGACATAGACAGCTTACATCAACCTTGCTGTGGAGGTTTATGCACTGCAATGTTCCTCCCGCTGATTTAACTCTCTTGCTACGCTGACATAATAAAACCATCACGACATTAGCTTCACAAATGTTATGCAGAGCACAGCAGGCTGCTATGACCATGGCAATTTTTCTTCATTCGGGTCTAACCTGCCAAAAAAACAGCACCAATGACCCTTTAATTGGCCAAATGCACATTCAACAGTCATTCTGCACCTGCTGAACCTGTTGTTGAAGTGCTTCTTGCTGCAGTCAAGGTTTCTGGTGTATGGCTTCATAAGTTATGGGAGCAAGGGGTTGGCTGGGTCTCCAAGGATCACTATTGGCATTTCCACATCCCCAGTTAGAATCTTCTGGTCTGGAAAGAAACTCCCTGCTTGCAGCTTTCTGTACAGGCCAATGTTCCTGAAGATAAATGCGTCATGCACCTTCCCTGACCACCATGCGTTGATGTTGGTGAAATGATTCATCACAGTATGCAGTACCATAGAAGAGTAGCTCTTTCTGTTGTTGTACTCCATTGCAAGGTGATCTGGGGCCAAAATGGGGATATGCATGCCATCTATCACCCTGCCGCAGTTAGGGAATCCATTGCCGCAAAGCCATCCACTATTTCCCGCACGTTGCCAAGAGTCGCAGACAGTTGTAGCAGGAGGCGATTAATGGCCCTGCACACTTGTATCACTACAACCCCCCTGGTAGACTTCTGTTTCGCAACTGATTGGTAGCAGTGTGGAGTTGCCAGCTTCCCCACTGTTAGGGCAGCTCTCATTTTGGTGGTCTTGTGCCAGAGGGCGGGGCGAGCTCCGCACACAGTTGCAGGAAAGTGGCTTTGCACATCCGAAAGTTCTGCAGCCACTGCTCATCATCCCATGCCTGCATAACGATGCAATCCCACCACTCAGTGCTTATTTCCTATGCCCAGAACTGACGGTCCACTGTGTGCAGCTGCTCTGTGAATGCCAACATCAATCTTGAATTGTTTCTTTCCATGTCACGCAGCAGGGCAGACACCACGGTGTCATCAGATTCGCAGCTCATGAAATACTGCAGTATCAGCCACGTTGTGTTCATAATGCTCATCACAATACTGGAGAGCAGTCCAGGATCCATGCTTTCAGACAGAGATGATGGGCAGGAAGTTTACAGGGGCTGTTGAAAGGTGATGCCAAACGTAGTAGGAAGCCCATAGAATGATGGGACGGAGAAAACTGCACCATGGGCCACTGAGTCCAGCCCCATGATGCACTGCGATCCCTCCCAGAACACCTGGCGGCAGATGGTGGTGAGTTGCACAGTGGGATAACTACCCATAGTGCACTGCTCTCTCTGTCAATGCAAGAGCACTAACTGGACGTCACAAGGAGCATTATGTGGATGTGCAAAAGTGGTTTAATTACAGTAGTGGATGATTGTCAACATAACTTAAGCTGACTTAACTTTGTAGTGTAGACGTAACCTAACTGTACTTTTCAGAATAGTAAAACCCAATAATTAAAGTGCCAGTTGCTGTTACTCTTTTCTCACTTCTTCCTTTATATGTCTAGCAAAACTCCTGAGGTGCGCAATTTTAAATTGAGTTTGTTGACTTAAGATTTTCAGAATGCGAAAACCTACCCTAACCTTGCTTTCTTCACATGTGCTGCTACAACAACATTCCCACATGGTTCAGTGAACCGTTCATGCTGTTGCTGCTCTAGTGTGGCCAGCCAGCACACTCCCAACCCCTGCCTATGTCTTCTTGCCTCTCCCAAGAGTTCCTAATAAGCGCTGAGCTCCAGGGTTAGAACCACTAACGCAGCAAGGGCTGAGGCAGGTTGTATTCCTTGTGGGCCACGTTTTTAACTCCAGCTGTAGTTGGCAAAACTGCCTCTTCTCTCTCCCCATTGCCTGAAGCCAGAAATGGTTTGGAGGTAGGGAGACAGTGTTTATCTCCAGGAGTGTGCTTGCCAACCACATCAATTGTAGTGCTGCTGTCATAGACAGCTCACTGAGGCATTTTCGACACTGGCAAGTTTCTGCGTAGTAAAGCAGCTTTCTGTGGTGTAACTCCTGAGGTGTACACACTGCCAAGTCACTTAGTGTGCAGAAACTGCGCAGTTGCAGCGCTGTAAAAAAGCCATCCTGACGAGAGGCGTACAGCTTTCTGCATTGTGGCTACAGCTCCATGGTGCCAGTGTAGACACCCTGGTCGATTACAGTGTTGCAGCTAGCTTCCAGGAGGTGTCCCACAATGTTCTTGCCTCTCTGGTCATCGGTTTGAACTGTACTACCCTGCCCTCAGGTGACCAACTGTGAGCCCCACCCCTTAAATTCCTTGGGAATTTTGAAATTCCCCTTCCTGTTTGCTCGGTGATGCATACAATGGTCTCAGCTCATCTTTCCAGGTGACCATGCTTGCTCCACGCACCAGGCGATCCCCCGCTTGGAGCAGTGCTGAGCTGCTGGACCTCATGAGCATTTGGGGAGAGGAGGCTGTCCAGTCCCAGCTGCGCTGCAGCTGTAGGAATTACGATACCTACAGTCAGATTTCATGACAGAAAGGGGCCGTGACCGGGACACACTCTAGGGCAGATCAAAGTGAAGGAGCTGCAGAGCACCTACTACAAGGCATGGGAGGCAAACCACTGCTCCGGTGCTGCGCCCACGAGCTGCCAGTTCCTCAAAGAGCTGGACGCGATACTCGGTGGCGACCCCACCTCCACTGTGAAGACCTCTGTGGATACTTCAGTGGCTCATGTGCCAGTCAAAAGTGCACCGAGCCAAGAGGAGGAAATCTTGGACAAGGATGTGGGGGAGGAGTCCCAGAGGCAGAGGATGACTTGGAGGCCAGAGATGCTTGCAGCCAGGAGCTCTTTTCTACCCCGAAGGAGGCAAACAAGTCATAGCTGTCGGAGATTGGCAAAGCACAAACAGGAGAGGAAGCCCCTGGTAAGTGGCTTTGATTTGGGGAATCACTGAAGCGAGTTGTTGTGAGCAGGAGGGTTGCAGAAAGCAGGCGTGTGTCTGTGTGATGTGTGTACCACCACATGCCTAGTCTAAGTGATGGAACAGGGTGTTGATTGACTCCTTCACTTCACGGGAATCTGCCTCAGAGATCTCCAGGAAACGCTCATGAAGATACTGGGCAATCCGCTGCTGCAGGTTCTTTGGGAGAGCTGCTTTGTTTCTTGCCCCATTAAGGGTACCTTTCCCACGCCACTCTGCCATCACTGGGAGGGACCATTGCTGCACACAGGCAAGCCGCATAAGGGCCAGGGCGGAAGCCACAGTCTTGGAGAAGACCCTCCTTTGATTCCCTGCTCACCCTCAGCAGCGAGATATCTTCCATAATGAACACAGCCTGTGGAAAATGTGGGGACAGTAATGATTGTAAGGTCCCCCCTCCGCTGCGGGCTGTCCCCAAGAGCCACATGCCCAGTCTACAGTACGGTCCTGGAACACTGATTTCCCCTACCCCTGAGGTTACTCACCATTTTGGGGGTCTTGTGTCTCGTGTGCTTGCCTGGCGTCAGCCAGTTAGTGACAGGTATGTGAATAGTGGTTGTGTTTTAAGTCACTGAATCAGTGGTCTGTGTGTTGCAAACAATACTGCTTTCTGTAAAATGTTACATTTTGGCTTCACAGATATGACCTTGGGAGCCCAGGCTCCCTCTTTGTTATCGTCAGCTGAACGGCTGCGCAGAATTAGGAAGTGGCCTCAAAGAACTAAAGAGGATTTTCTGTGTGATGTCTTGATGCACTCTGCGACTGAAAAACAAGTATTGAAGGAGTGGTGGGACAGCGAGAAGGGGGACTGAAAGGAGAATGTGGCGCGCCAGAACGAAGCCATGAAGCTCTTAAAGGTTATGGAGCGTCTAGGTGGTCTGGTGCCAGCATTGGAATGTGCGTGCCATCTATCGCCCCTCTGCAGTTAGGGAAGCCCATTTGTGCAAAGCCATCCACAATGTCATGCATGTTGCCTGGAATCTTGGTCTTTTGGAGCAGGATGCCATTAATGGCTCTGCACACTTCTGTCAACACAAGTCCAACGGCCAACTTTCCCACTCCAAACTGGTTAGCGACCGATCGGTAACAGTCTGGAGTAGCCAGCTTCCACAGTGCAATCGCCACACACTTCTCCAATGGCAGGGCAGCTCTCATTCTCATGGCCTTGCGCTGCAGGGCTGGGACGAGCTCATCACACAGTCCCAAGAATGTGGCTTTCCTCATTCAAAAGTTCTGCAACCACTGCTCATCATCCCAGACGTGCACTGATGATGTGATCCGACCACTCAGTGCTTGTTTCCCGAGCCCAAAACCAACGTTCTGCTGTAGTCAGCACCTCTGTGAATGCCACGAACAATCTCGTGTCATAGCTAGTACGCGTGGAGAGATCAGTGTTGAACTCCTCTTGCCTTTGTAGTTTAAGGAATAACTCCACTCCACTCCACTCATGACGTTTTAGTGAGAGCAAGCAGCATATTGGTCAACAGTATGGGATCCATTCCTGCATGCAGTACACAAACCATTGAAAGATGGTGCCAAATGCGGACAGAAGCACAGGGATTGCTGGTATGTGAAGCAGTGCATCACGGGGCATTGGGATAGGACCCAGGATGCCCCATGACCCCTCCACCTTCCCACAACTCCTAGCGGCAGAAGAGGAAGAGATGCTCTGTGGGATAGCTGCTCAGAGTGCACCGCTCCAAATACCGATGCAAGTGCCACAAGTGTGAACACGCTATTGCGCAGGCAGCTGACAGTGTGAACACACAACAGCAGTTTCCCTTCAGCCCTCTTTGTGCGGTGATGTAACTGCCGGCGCTGTAACTCTGCCAGTGTAGCAATACCCTGAGTATATGCAGATGTGCCATGACAGCTGCTGTGATATACTGCATGACCAGCCGTGATGTGTTCATAACAGTGACCACAACAGTAGAAAGCAGTGCAGGCTCTGGGCGCACAGTAAACAGGGGCCATTGAAAAACACCACAAAACACAATTGGAAGCCCACGGAATGGTGGGACGGGAAAAAATGAGTGGGGACATTGAGCCCACACCCAGGATGCACTGCGATCCACTCCGCCATTCCACAACTCCTAGCTGCAGAAGATAGCGAGTAGCATAGTAGGATAGTTACCCATAGAGCACTGCTATCACTTTTGATGCTAAAGCACCAACTATGGATGTGCTCCACCAACAAAAGGAGCATTGTGTGAACATGCACAAGCGATGTAATTATACCAGTTTTTGATCACTGGCGTAACTTGCATCAAAAAAACCTCTGTAGTGTAAACAAGGCCTAAGTGAGGGTGTTACAGATTTTGTGGCAAAGAAAAATAAGGGAGCACAGGGATTTGCATTACAACTCCCTATTAAAACTAAATAGCTATGACTTTAGAACACTTTTTTCTTCCTATTTGCTATATGACTAAACATCTTCCTTGCAATTCTTTTGCAAAGCAGAAATTGTGTATGCTTTGCCTACTTCCAAGCTTAAACAAAGCTTAAAACTGTTTTGATATTCAAACCAAATCATAACTTCCTCCAAAAAAACTTTTGAGATGAACTTTTTATACTTTTTCCTAGCTCAAAGGTTATTTTTCTCTTTAATTGAGGAAAATCAATTCAACTGTTTTGGTGCACATGAACAAATCCCATATGCACCAAAACATTTGTAATCTGCAGCATAGGCTTTTGGGGAATTGGAGTTGAAAACCTTTGGAGATGAGCAAAACTACAACTCCACACCTAACTTTTTCTTATGCTGATAGGGTATTCTGCGTGACGATCCTGAGATCCTTGAACTTGCTCCCTCCACTTTGTCTGAAATATTATGAACTTGATGACCTGTGCATGCTACAAAAGCCACTTATTTAATTGGGTTTTGGAGAGATGGAAGATATGGACTCAGAGGCATTAGGGGGTGGAAAGGAATATTTCTGTTCCTTTCCATTTGCTGGCCAACTGAGCCCTGGTCTATACTTAAAAATTTAGATCAATCCCTGAGTGCCGTAGTTAAGCTGACCATACTTCCAGCGTGATGCGGCGAGGTTGACGAAATAATTCTTCTGTCAACCTAGCCGCTGCTGCCTCAGGGAGGCAGATTACCAGCACTGACAGAAAGACCACTTCCGCTGATATAGGAAGTGTCTACGCTACGGTGCTACCGTGGCATAACTGTAGCACTGCAACTGTGCCGCTGTAGTGCCCAGAGTGTAGACATGCCCTCAGTTAATTTGTTACTGTTTGTTTAATGCTGCAAGTAGGTGAGCTTATGGTACCAATGGGATTTTTTTAATGCTGCTGGATGATCATTATGGTGTTGCAAGTAATTGGCCTCGAGCTTTGTGTATGGGCATTTTGATATTTAGACTTTAATAAATGAAAGTCAAGAATTTATTTTAAGTTCAGTTTCTTGTAACAATGTTATCCTGCGCATGTTTGTAAAGTGCTTTGAGAACCTTGGATAAAGGATGTTATAGAAGTGTAAAGTTATATTAATTTCATGCAGGCTTAAAGATGGAGTCGTATTTCTGTGATCCTGATTAGGACAAACATTTTTAATTTGGAGCCTCTACTACAAAAGAGTCCTGAATTAAAAAGGAAAGAGCATAGCTATTCCGGTGTTCATGTAATGTAAAATCCGTAGCTTTAAAAATTGGTAGAGCTTTTTAACAGCATCATTCTGATCAAAATAGCTTGTGCTTCTTTCTTCCTCCATCTTAGAAGTTCTAAAATAAATCCGCTATATACTGCGTCTCTCTTTAGCCTACAAGAAAAGGAAATCCTGAATTGTATTCTTTATCAAGTAGGTACTTCTCCTTAATCTCTTCTCTCATTACAAAATCTTTAATGAGGCAATAAAGAGCTCAAAGAAAGAGAACAGAAATGAGTACAGCAGGGCAAATTTAGTAATTAAGAGCAGCCTAATTTATGGACTGAATGATAAAGCCTATTACTTATATTTAGAGCCTCAGGTTCCCATGCAAAATAGTCTCTCAAGAGGACATGTTAAAACTCATGTGACAGCACGAGTTGCAGTATAAAAACCCCAATGGGTCTCTGTTTTGGTTTTTAGAAAATTAATTGAGATTGTGTTGCACCAAGTTTTGCTTTGCCTTTTGTTGTTGTTGTTTTTCTTAAACATTCCCTTTTTCTTGGCACACCAATGCCCCAACATGCTGCATGACAGCTAGCTCCCATGTGCTGTTTTGGAATTTCAATTCTGAGGTGTATTATTTGAAGTTTATAACCTGGCCTCTCATGACTATGCCTGGTAACTCAGGCCATTTACTGTAAGGTGGGATAGCCAGCTAGAATTTCTGAGGAATAATAGATGCCTGCAATTGAATGAAAATGGCTAGTTCACCTCTTTGGGGTTTTTTAATACAGGAAATATTCATATGTTTTCAAATGTAACACCAGACACCCACTATTATCGGCGGCGACACCGAAATGAGAGAGCCTGGACGCAGGACAAAGAGGAGGAAGAGAACAGGCCTCAGGTACCGTGGGAGGAAGCTGTTAGCTTTAAATATTGATCATGGCTATAGTGGGCGCATTTCAAGTTCATATGGGTTTCAGTAGTGTTCCCTATACAGTAGAACCTCAGAGTTACAAACTGACCAGTCAACCACACACCTCATTTGGAACCAGAAATATGCAATCAGGCAGCAGCAGAAACAAACAAACAAACAAAAAATACAGTACACTTCTGTGTTAAATGTAAACTACCAACAAAAAACCTAAGGAAAAGTTTAAAAAAAAAATTGACAAGGTGAGGAAACTGTGCTTGTTTAATTTAAATTAAGATGGTTAAAAGCAGCATATTTCTTCTGCATAGTGAAATTTCAAAGCTGTATTAAGTCAATGTTCAGTTATAAACTTTTGAAAGAACAACCATAATGTTTTGTTCAGAGTTATGAACATTTCAGAGTTACAAACAACCCATTCCTGAGGTGTTTGTAACTCAGGTTCTACAGTTCTTAAAATGGGGAATACCTCTAGAACCAGTAATATTTTTACAATCAGAATGGACTTTTTATGTGGGACCACTGTACTTGTCTCTTTATTTGCTACTTCCAAAATGTATCTTATTGTGGGGGGGACTCAGAAAAGAGCTATGGTCTTTCATCAGTTGAAATGGATCAGTAGTGGCTGAAAATCATTACCATCCAGTGTCAGTTGTGTAGCCTAATGGGAAATATGTTTGTGGTGTGGACAGACAAGTGTTCATATCACATATGGTTGCAGTGAACATTCTTGTTGGTAATCTTGATACAGACACCAAGGACTGAATAGCTACAGACTGCTTTCTGCGCTTCCCCTTAAAAGCCAAAGTTGAGGCAGGTGGGCAGGACAGTGTAAAAGGAAACTTACGCTGTTACTGTCCGGGCTGTTAGTTTTATGGAGTAACAGAAGACTTTTGTCCCTAAAGCCATCACTGTTTCACTTGCACTAAATTCACTTACTTCGAAAAACATATTCAAACAAATAAAAAGAAAATACACATATCTAATTCCAAATTGCACTATGTATTGTTTATTAACCTGTAACATTTTTAAGAGTTTCAGTCCTTGGGTAGAAAATAAATAATGTTGTGGATTTGAGAAAAAAACATTGTAAATTTTAGAAACTACAGGGAACCTGTAGATGTAAACTGTATCCAAGCAGGCTGTTCCTTGACCTGCATTGCCTCCTGGCAGCACAGTGTGCACATGCTTTTTGAGGAGATAGTTATTTGACTTATAAATGGAATTGTGCATTAAAGAAACTTCACAAAACTTTGATTTGGAGAAAACTTGTTTATTTATTTATTTGAAATTTAAGTTATTAAAGTGTTTTTCTAATAGAGGTAATTTTGAAATTTAACTAGTTTGAAATTTAAATGTCACATTTCTTCTGTTAACTCAAGGGTAGTCTCTGTTCTTGTCTAACATCTGATGCGTTGTCTGCCTAGAGACCGCTCCTGCCTTTTATGAGCTAGTGGGTCTTATTCCCATCTCTAACTTTTATCATCCACTAACTATGGTTGTCCATTTCAGAATACGTACTCTGCATTTATTCAGTTGCTGCCTGTTTTGGTGATCATAGTTTTGTCAGTTATAACTCAGCTGATGGCCACTAATCCACCATACAGCCTGTTCTACAAATCGTAAGTCCCAATTTTTAAAAAACTGTTTATCTGGTCTAGGTTACTTGGAGTGGGGAGGTAGAGGGATGTTGGACTTAATAGAGAATTCACTAACTTTTCCCATCCGGTCTCTGCAGAAAGCATTATCACTTTGTAATTAAGGGACTAGGGCTATTTCCATTTTATTTGTTGGTTTTCCTAGGCACTACCATAATACAAAACCATCAAGGAGCAAGGCTCCATTGTAACGGGCTATATACAGACAAGTAACAGTAGACAGTCCCTGCCCCAGAGTGCTCACCATCTGGTTTAAGACACTTTCATAGGGTGGTCTAGTATCATTTAGCACCTTCTAAGCGAGCAGGATCTGGAGCATTACAGAGCAACCTGGTTAGCCCTGAAAGGAGTGGGGAGTGCCTAGCATTGTTCTAATCAGGGCTTGGGGAAAACCCACTTGCCTGTTCATCCAGCGCAAGTAGAAATGCTGCCCAAGAGAGTAGGCCAATTTGGGCTGTAGAGCTGGTGGGGGATTTTCCTTGGGGGGAGAGTAGAGCCAACCAAGTACCACTAGTTCTTTTTTGGGGGGAAAGGAGGGGTAGCTAGGTGGAGCTGAGGAGCTGTAAGGCATGAGACCTCCTGTGTGCTCAGGATGGCAGTGACGGCAGCAGCAAAGGAACCTGCAAAGGTTCTGGGGTTGCGAAGGTATTGTTGATTTGAATGGTAGGAAGGATGTGCATGGTTGATTTATACACCAATGTAAATTCAATATCCATGGGCTTGGGGTTGTGAACTGGTGGGGTTCATGGCGTGCAGGTGTTTTTCAGTTGGATGAATGGGTGTCAGGGAAACATTTCAGATCCTCCTTTCAATCCAAAGCAGTATTAGCTTGGTGTTCAATCCTTGCTGGATCAAAAGGCTTCTTATGACTGTGGAGGGATATTTAAGGGGAGTTGGAACAAGTAGGTGGGAAAGAAACCTGCAGTACTGAACGCTCAGCCCAAGGGGGTTCTGCTTTTTTAATCCGGAATAAAATGAGTTTGAGGGTTTAGGCATTTGCCTCTTTGCAGTTTTGTCATTTAAAAAGCAATTAGCTGTTTGCAACAAAATTCCCCGCTCCTTTTGGGGCATTGTCACACATAGTCTCCTCCTTCACTTGGGTCTTCTCAATGCTGAGAGTTGTTGGTCAGGTGACAATCTGGACCATGTATGAGAGGAGGGGCATAGCCACAAAGCGTTCGCTTCTGATGAAATCCAGTGTTTGAAAGGTCTGGGTTTGCCCCCTTTAAAGAACAGGGGGGCCATTTCAGATTTCAGTGAGGGGCAACTTCTTGCAGGAGTCCAGGGGCTGCTTTGGCCACTGGCAGCTCTTGGATTTTTTGAAGGATAAAAGGTAAAAATCAGTCTGTTTCATTTGTTGTGGTTATTTCCTATATTGTTGTTAATATTTTATATAGGCTTTCTACAACAAAATTACCAACAGAGGACAAACAGGAAATTTGTAAAGCTAAGCAATCTGTGCTAGGACCCAGTACCAAATAAAACCTAACTTTCAAGCTTATAAAGCAGCAAAGTTCAGACCATACAGAAGACAAATACAGTAAAATATTATTGATTGCAGATAGCTGTGCAGTCACAGCAGTTAACGCCTACAGCTGCTTGCCAGATATCTCTGGTTATGCAGGATCACCCGTCTTTGATTTTTAAAATATAAAAGCATTAAATTCAGTGCTAACACCATACTTTTTAAAACCTTCTTTTCATACCAGTACCTTCCTGGCTTAGTGCAAGGCTCCAACAACAACAACAAAAAACAAACCATCCATCTTAAGCCCTTGACAAAAAACGTATTTTGCTTTCATTTGAAAAATGTGACAGAAAAACATGAACTTCAATTGCTGTTTGACAAGATAACAGAAGTGAAGGTCTAATGATAAAATAACTGGAGGTGGAGGGAAGAAAACTTGAGGCTGCGCATTTGCATTGTGATCCATTTCTTGGCAAGCTCCGAGTGAGGAGTCAGCAGTCTGGCGTTTGTCACAAAAGGGAACACATATTGATTAAAGCACGTTTTAGGGGCTAGTGAAGTAGGAGTATGAATCCAGTCACTGCACTGCTGGAACAGAGGAAGCGCTGAGATCGAGGGGCTCCTTCAGAGAGAGATCACATGAATACAATAATCCTGGGCCACAAGGTGACTGTCAGGCTTGTTGTGGGTTGTATCTGCTCCCACCTCCTTAGCAGAGAGAGCTCTCCCTGTCAGTTCAGAGGTAACAGGCAGGATCAGGTTTCACCACAGCTCCCGTTGTGGGCGGCTTGCTCCCTATCCTGCTGCCTGTGGGGTGGAGTTTCCAGACTTTTCAGTGAATTTCTGGGGGGGTTTGCTGCCTGCCTTTCCCAGCACTCGTTCTCCTGTACCCCTTCAGCAGGACAGATGCCTGGCAGCCAGGATGCTCAGCATGCAGGAAGGCATCCACCCCACAGGCTATGCCAGCAGAAGATGGCTCCTGCTCCAAGATACTGGCAAGCCTAGTGATCAGGAGCCCCGGAGGATGAGCTTAGGCTCTCCCCAGAGCGCTGCAGAAGGACAATAATGCCAAGGGGGAGCCACTGTGGGCAGGGCCGGCTCCAGGCACCAGCTTGCCAAACAGGTGCTTGGGGCAGCCACTCCGGAGAGGGGCGGCACGTCCAACTATTCGGCGGCAATTTGGCGGATGGTCTCTCACTCCTACTCGGAGCCAAGGACCTCCCGCCGAATTGCCACCGCAGATCGCGATCGCAGCTTTTTTTTTTTTGCGCCGCTTGGGGCGGCAAAACCCCTGGAGCCAGCCCTGACTGTGGGAGGGCTTTGCTTTCTGCCTCTGCCTGCCCTCAGCTACATGCTTCCTTTATCTGCAGCTGGGGCTGAGGTGCTTCATGGGGGAAGGAGGAAATTACCCCTCCTAAATGGCACCCTATTGGGGGTAGCATAATTGGAACTCGCTGAGGTTGGGCTCGCATTCTGTCCTTTTTCATGGGGCGTTGTTTTTCAGACTGTTCCAAAATTCTTATCGCTGTTACCACAAGATGTCAGCCTGCATGTTTGGCAGACAGCAAGATACTCCCCCAGTGAGTCTTTTGAGTTGTGCCAATCCCAAGTAAAACACTCCCGGCCGCTCCCAGAATAGGCAGTCCCTCCTGCTGCCTCCGTGCCCTTTGATCCAAGAGAGTCACACTTCAGCCCTGCACATAGGCACATATGCTCTGCCTCTAAACCTTATCTTTAGGAATTAAACTCCATTGTTCTTAATGCAGAGAATAAAACCCTCAGACCTTGTGAGAGAGGAAGAAAAGACGGTTTTTAATAAACCAAGAAGGAGGGGACAAACCGAACTGTGGAAGGAGGGAGAGGCATGTCAGATGGAGTGTGACCCTCCCTTCTTGGCTGCTTTCTCCTTATGCAAGGCAACAATTCTAAAGATGCAGAGAGAGGAGCCAAGAAGATTAGAAAGAAGAATGTGGTTTAAACCAGTGGAGAAGGCAGAGAGGCTAGCTCTGCACAGCTCCCCTGACTGCAGGGCAGTTTCAAAACATTAGAAGGAAGTGGAACCAGGATCATCCCTTATTCAGAATTCCACAGGATTCTATAATTTGCCCTGGGGTGTCTAAAAAATATTATGTGAGGCAGTGGAAATCTACGTGGAATGGGCTATATGACTACAGTCACATTGCACCCTCAGATATTTGGCCCTGTGCCCTAAATGCACCCTGAAGACTGCTGTCCTTTCAAGTTTGTCCAGTCATTTCCCACTGATGTTGACAGGAGGCTGCTGGAAAGTGCAGGCAAACAAACAAACAAAGAAAGCTGTGTTTGGGCCTTTTTATGTCTTAGAAGTGACTTGACCAAGTTACCAAGAACTCCCCAGAAAAATGCAGTCTCATTAATGCATACTGTACTTGAGTTTGGGCAGTATCAATTTTGAGGCTGCTCCCTTTAGATTCCATTTTTCATTTTAAATCTCTTTAGATATTGTGTCTTCATTGTGTTTTTCTAGCCAGTCATGTTTATTTTATCAGCTGTGTTAGGAAGGTGTAAGGTTGATTATGGAGCAGGGAGATGTGTAATTTCTTTAGCGAATGGTTGAGGGCGCTGTAGTTCTGCAATAGTTGCTGTGAAGAAGTTACAGGTATTTCCTGCTGGGAATATTAATATTCCTTGATATTTCTGAACTGCCTTAAAAACACACTTGTCTCTATGCTGTTTTCACAGGTCCATAGGCCATACCGTCTCTAGAGAAACACAAAACCTGCATGTGCCTTATTATGTTGATAAAAACTTTGAAAATAGTTATAAAGGAGCAGAACTTCAAGAGCTAGAGAAAACTGTTGAAAAGGATTATATAGATTATATCCAGACCAGCTGCTGGAAGGAGAAACAACAAAGTAAGTAATCTTTGTTATTTGTAAGTGTGTAGGTACACATCACATAAAGTCAGAGCGTGGCTTTGCTTGAGAAGGTATTTCCATTATAAGCCCTAGGTTACGGGGATATATAACTTTCTAAACCATGAAGAACAGAGTTGCAGCCCATGTGGCATCCTCAGGGCCATACAGGTAGTGTGTGTGTATGTATATATGTGTGTGTGTGTAGTATATATATATATATATATATGTGTGTGTGTGTGTGTGTGTGTGTGTGTGTGTGTGTGTGTGTGTGTGTGTGTGTGTGTGTGTGTGTGTAGTGTGTAGTGTGTGTGTGTGTGTGTGTAGT